AACCTAAACTAGTCCATGCCTGGGATTACTTTGTGAGACGGACACCTTGTGGTAGATATGTGTAAACGCAATAAAAATCAATTTAACAGCTAGGATGGGCCATTTATTTTCATCAGTAAAAACAATCAAAGAATGAAGTCATTATTATATAGCCTGCTGTTTTATCAGGGGAGTAACAAGTCAGGTCAGGAAATAACTTTCTGCTCTTTATTTTGGCCCTCTATGATTTGTTTGCCAGAGGGAAAGTGTGTGTTTTTAATTTTGAGTCAGAATTGTTTTATTTACAAAGTTTCATCTGTTTCCTATTCACAGAATCGACAGGAAGAAGGACAAGGCAGAGAGGAAGATCCTTGACAGCCAGGAGAGAGCGTTCTGGGACGTTCACCGACCAGTGGTGAGTTAAACTTCAAAGCAGAAATGAACAAAGAATAAAATAAGATGGTCTGCTCTGTAAAGACGCAGCGTCCTAACGTGGGGGACAGAACAGTCAGTGTGCCATCTGACCCAGAAACACTTTGCCTTTTCTGCTGTCTCCCACAGCCGGGCTGCGTCAACACCACAGAGATGGACATCCGCAAGTGTCGAAGAGAGAAGAACCCACACAGGGTGAAAAAGGTGACAGACTGGACACATTTCTTCGTCTTTTTCTAAATGTGTCATTGTACAGCTGCTCCACATGACGTTCTCGACCCATGGAAATCACAGATCTCGTTTTCAAGTGAGGCCTGCGAAGCAGCCTAAACATGGATGTTTTTTGGATTGTGGGAGGAAACCGTAGTAACCAGGGAAAACCCACAAAGTGGGGGTGTGCAATTTTGTTATTGATCCAATACCAAGTAAATACAGAGCTAGTATATTGACAGTACTGATACAGATACTTGTCTTGTTCACTGAACAATTTTGCCTTTGGTTGTGATAAAACACAGGACAAATATTTTAGCAAACGTAATGTTTTGTATTAACAAACTACAACAATATAAAACAATGTAACAGTAAAATATTCCTCAATTATCTTCTACTACACATTTTTTTAATAAAATGATCTCATCACACTAGCATCGACCMAATACAAATGCTAATTTTGGTGTCGCTAGTATCAATACTTAGATTGATTGAATTATAGCCCCTTGTAAAATTAGCCTTAGCATTACTGGTTAGCAATCAGCATGTAATCATTCTTAGCTACACCACAACAAATTTCATTTCTATAAGTCCTAAAATGGCTGAATTTTTTGATTAGCATTTAGAATTTGGTAAAGATTGTATTGGCTACATTTCCACTAAAACTTTTGTGGTCAATCTTTGCATCTTTGCTATGGCCACAACATTTAAACTCATTTCAATTAATTTCAGTTAAAGCCATTTGGAATTAGCTGCGGTGACCATCTTCAGTTTTCGAAATCCAGAGTGTTTTCTTTTTTTTTTGTATGTGCCCCCTAAAAAAACGCCATGGTCACCCCTTGTAAAAAAAATTCTAGCGCTGCTCCTGCCTATCACACAGTAAGATCCCAGGCCCGACCTGGGGCTTGAACCCTGGATCTTTTTGCTGTGTGGCAACAGTGCTAACCACTAATCCACCCTTCTGCCATTTTACTTGTTTTATCCCAACCTAAGATGGATTCCAATTTCATTTTGTATTTCTCAAATCACCTTCAAGCCTTTAGGCTCACTCAGGCCCACTCAGTCCCCCAATGCAACACTGAAACCTGGTCCCACAACAATCACCCCATATACCACAGCTGAGGGAAAAACAATAATGACAGCAAAGCCCAACATATCTCTTCCCTCATCCTTTGCAGTCGGTCTATGGGGTACCAGATGACGGCCAGAGCCAGCCAAGTCCGGTCCACATAAGCTCCCAGCCAGCCAGGAAGCCCACCAAAGAGGACGTTCAGAAGGAGGTAAATCACAGCAAGAGCATTATTTTCTATAGATCATTACCACCATCTTTCCTCTCTCATCCATCACGGCGACGGTCAGAGACACAGACTGATGAGCTGTTCCCTTATTTARCCTCCTCATTTCTCTTCCTTCTCTTCCTCCATCAGATCACCTTCTTGAACACCCAGCTGGACCGACACTGCATGAAGGTTTCCAAAGTGGCCGACAGTTTGATGACCTACACGGAGCAGTTCATGGAATACGACCCGTTTGCATCGGTGGTGGAGCCCTCTAACCCCTGGGTTAGTGACGACACAACCTTCTGGGACGTGGAGACGAGGTGAGGCTGGAGAGGGCGCGATGAGAGTTCAACAGTGATGTGTTGCAGTTAGAAGGAGCGTGTTCCACATCTTAAATGAGTTCTAATGCTGGCGTTCCCAGAGGTCCAGTATGTACCAACATGTTGGTCTTGTCCCTCTGCGGGCTGTGAGAGGAAATTAGGAGCAAGAGATTGCATTTTATTATTTTTTTTATTTTTTTTTAGTCTCCCTTGCTCTGTTTTGTTTCGCTCTGAGCAGCCGCGATCCCAGCCAGCAGCGAGTGAAGAAGTGGGGGTTCTCCTTGGAGGAGGCGCTGAGGGACCCAGCAGGACAAGACCAGTTCCTGAAGTTTCTGGAGTCAGAGTTCAGCTCAGAGAATTTACGGTGAGACGGCCACTCAGCTCAAGAGTTTGATGATGTTTATGTATTTATCCTGATGTTCCCTTGAAGGGGGGAGGGATTTTCCAGACACACGGTTCAGTTCCAGACCACAACCATGTGTGTTACCTTCAGCTGTTGGGGAAAAACTAGCCTGGCCCTTGCCTTCCTTCGCAGTTCTGCTCAATTCTAGTTTTCCTTTTCTGCTCTGTCTGGTATTTCTCCCATTTGGATTTCTCCAGTAGAATTTCAACCGGGCCAATCAGAGAACAGGAGGAGGAGTTGTGAACGACGATGCCAATTTTCTGTGCCGTTTTGGTCTGCTTGTAGTTTAGCAATGAGAAGAAGTGAATGAAGCCAGTCCGTGTTGATAAGGCTTCCAAATTAAATTAAATTTGTCTCACAAAGCCTGAAGCACTAATTTACAGCCATCTTATTTGGCTCGGTGCTTCTCTCTTCTCAGCAGATGGTTGTTTAGAGCCCAGGCGATTTCCGGTTAGCTTCCTTCACAGTCAAGCTGATGCTCTACATGTCTAACGGCCAAACGTTAGCGATGGGATACATCCAGTAGATTCAATCGTTTTAAACTTCAACTTCAACCCTCCGTACAAAGCAAAGTGTGGGACAAGGGGCTGGTTTTAACCAGGCTCGGAAAAAAAACCTGTACATACCAAAAATAATTTTGACTTTGCATCATAGCTTAACTAAACGCTGCAGACTTGAGCTCCAGAGAGGAGCGCTGCGTTTAGGCTGCTTCACATGAATACCACAGGAGATTCAAGGATTTCTCATGACACATGCATGAATGAGTCAAAGCAACAATCTGGGTGTGTTTTTTATGAGGCAATGTTGTTATAACAATAACAATAGATGCACATTAATTTCATAAAGTAACAGTTCAGGGGTCTCATTTATAAAGGATGGCGTGGAAACCATACTAAAAGTGAACGTACGGCCAAAAGGCGGAAATGGCGTACGCCAAAAAAAA